AAATTGCAAGTTAGGGGTTAGCAATGAACAAAGTTCCAAATTTGTTCAATGATTTTTATAATCATTTATTTTTCTCTATAAATATGTTACTCTTTAACAAAAACCACATTAAAATTTCTTTAAAATCACAGATATCTATAAAAGATACTTTGGACTTAGTGTTTTCCCTTGATTTCCTCAAGCATAGGGACTGATTCCCCAAGGAATTAATGGAGTGGGTGGGGAGAGAATCACTTGCTCATTGGTACTTATACTTAAGAGTACAGTGGAGGTGGTACTCAAATCAGTCAATGTAGCTCCTTGTTAAAACCATTTTTTTAAAGGTTTAATGAGGAAAAAGCTTTGGCTAAACAGAGGTTTGGAAATAGCCTATAGATCTGATGTTTTCAGGCGCTGCTGTTGCATCTTATGACCACGCACTCTGAAGTATTGTCTACGCCTACCGACAAGCATTTATAGTTCCACAAAAGAAACACATGCCCAGTGGCTCCTCAGGTACGCCTCTATCTGACCCCGCTCAGCTCCTGAAATCAGAGCCTGTAATGATTAGAAGCTCTGATTTTTGTGGGATAACTGCCCAATGAAGTATACGGAAAGTGCTTGTTGGAGTGGAGATCCGTGTTTACTTGTACTGTCAGCTTGCGATCACCTTAATGTTGTTGGGGTAGCATTCATCACCCATCCTTACCTGCATAATGCACATTCTGTATAGGAGCTGAAAAATGAAGAGAGGGAGAAGGGCGAAGAAAAATTTTGTGTCTTCCACGTGGGACTCACTATAGCAGCCACCATTTTTTTCTTTGGCGTGGTCTAACCAGCTGGCAGTATCTCTGCCAAGATGGCAGTATTGAAGGCAACATGTTTTCAGTGCATTAAAAAACACCCCAATGGTTGTCAGGAGGGAGAAACCTGCAAATAATTGAAGATATTATGTATTAGTATAGGAATTGTTCTCCAGTTTCCCAAAATGCCAATCAGAAAGACGACAATTGTGAGGGTACAGGGCAGTGCAGCGACTGAGAAGGTTTTAGCATCCAAGGGGGTGGATTCAAAGAAACAAGCTTCTGACAAAGATTCTGGCATCCTGAGGACCAGCCCAGGGTAGCCCCTGAAAGCTGATGTAAAAAATGAAAAAGGTAACCTCGATGGGAACATGTTTAAAAGAGGGAAGAAATGCGACAATAAAACACCAAAGTGAGGGATTTCAGAATCTCTCAGAAGTCTCTGACTTTAACTCATTAATGAATAAGATAACCTGAACTTTCTTTTATATCCTTAACACAAAGAACTAGTACTATTTTA